AGTTTGCAACAACAAGAGAATCAATCTATTCTTCTATCCCTCTCTTTAATCGATGTGCAGAGAAATACCACCACAACATCGTCAAGTCGACCACATCAGCGGCCATCTTCACCGCCTACCTGTCAAGGTGTGTTATTCTTTGTTTTCCCTTCACCCCGTCTCAGTTGTTTCTCGATTCGTATCACCTTTTGTAAAAGATTTAGGCCAATCAAATAGTTTTTGTAATTTTGATCTTTAATTTACCAGATATCTGTTATCATACATGCTATCACTTCAGTGGTTAATTTATGGTTAGCGGGAAGATGTCCAACCATTTAGGCAGAGTTTGTTGCGTCCGCTCCTCTCACACCTCTACTTAAACCTGATAACGGGATCCGTCCGATTGCAGTAGGCACTATATGGAGACGTCTGGTTTCCAAGGTTGCCATGAAAGGTGTGGGTAAAGAAATGGCCAAGTACCTTAATGATTTTCAGTTCGGGGTTGGCGTATCCGGTGGTGTCGAGGCTGTGTTACACAGTGCTAATAGGGTGTTGAGTGAACACCATGCTGATGGGTCTCTTGTAATGCTGACTGTGGATTTCTTGAATGCCTTTAACCTGGTAGATCGATCAGCATTGCTCCACGAGGTTAAGAAGATGTGCCCTTCCATTTCTTTGTGGGTGAATTTCTTGTACGGGCAAGCAACGAGACTTTATATCGGAGACCAACATATATGGTTTGCCACTGGGGTGCAGAAAGGTGACCCCTTGGGCCCTCTTCTTTTTGCCCTCGTTTTGCACCCGCTTGTGCACAAGATTAGAGACAATTGTAAGCTCCTTCTCCATGCTTGGTATCTAGATGATGGGACTGTCATTGGGGATTCAGAGGAGGTGGCTAGAGTGTTGAACATTATTCGGTTGCATGCTCCAGGTTTGGGTCTTGAGTTGAACATCAAGAAAAACAGAGATTTTTTGGCCCTCCTGCGATGGTAGGAAGCTACGTGCCGATTTATTCCCAACGGATATAGGGAGACCTTCTTTGGGGGTGAAGCTCCTGGGGGGGCTGTTAGCAAAGACGCATGGTTTATTAGCGGGCTGGCCATGAAGAGAGCGGACAATGTTGTTGATTTGATGGGCCTTCTTCCACAACTATGTGACCCGCAAAGTGAGCTCCTTTTGCTTCGATCATGTATGGGCATTGCAAAACTTTTCTTTGGTTTAAGGACATGCCAGCCGGTACACATAGAAGAGGCAGCTTTGTTCTTTGACAAAGGATTGCGCAGGTCTATCGAGGATATGGTGGTATGTGGAGGCCCCTTCTTTGGAGACATTCAGTGGCGCCTGGCTTCCTTACCTATTCGTTTTGGTGGTTTGGGTTTGTACTCGGCATACGAGGTTTCCTCCTACGCATTTGTAGCCTCGAGGGCCCAATCTTGGGCATTACAAGACCACATCTTACGTGACAGTGGTGTATGTGGTATGGACTCGGATTACCTATGTGCTATGACTCGTCTTCGCGATACGATTCTGGGATTTGACTGTAGCGGTTTCACTAATAAGGACACCGCCCCCCCCCCCCTAAATCCCAAAAAGTTTTGGCGTGTGCCCTTTTTAGCTAAATCATCAAAGATATGGAAGTCGACTACGACATGACTGTCAGACAGAAAGCAGTCTTTGAGTGTCTACGGGCACCTCATGCTCAGGATTTTCTGCTAACTATCCCTATTGATGGTCTTTGGCCAGCATATGTCTCTTGTGGAGTACCGAACTATCCTTCGTTACCGCCTCATGATTCTCATATTCCCAATTGACGAGATATGTCCGGTTTGCCACAAGGCATGTGTGGATACCTTTGGGGAACACGCGGTTCATTGTAGAGAGCTCCCTGGTTTCAAGTACAGACATGATGTGGTTCGGGATGTTCTCTTTGATGCTTGTCGGCGTGCTGGTATTTCTGTGAAGAAAGAAGCGCCAGTGAACTTTTTAACAGACCCGCAGGATGGAAGGTCCACACTTAGACCGACTGACATTTTTGTCTTTGGATGGATAGGAGGGAAGCATGCGTGTGTGGATCTTACTGGGGTCTCTCCTCTCGTTGGTTTGGGGAGCGGGGGTTTCACAGCTGGGCATGCCGCTTTGAAAGCCGCTGCGTGCAAAGTGGTAAAGCACGAGAATGCATGTATAGAAAATCAACATGTGTTTGTACCTTTTGCATTCGATACATTTGGTTTTCTCGCACCAGAGGCGGTGGAGCTCCTCAATAGAGTCCAACGGGTCATGCATTCTAATGTCATATCTCCTAGATCCACAAATGTAGTTTTCAAAAGAATTGGTTTTGTCATCCAAAAAGGGCTAGCGGCGCAGTTTGTTGCCCGTTTGCCTTCAATCGATATGTATTGAACCTTTTATTTTAACCTAAACAAAAAAATTCTCACATGATAAAAATTTATTTGAGTTTTATCGTCATGGACAAATGGAATACTTGAACATGTATTGGCTGTTAAAACATCTTTAATTGAGTATAAAAATATTTTTTAGTTATGCTTTTTGCTTGTTGCATTTAATTTGGTTATTGCTCAAATTTCTTCATTGTTTTTATGTAACTCCATATTTGCTTTCGGTTTGAACGATGCAAATACAGTAATTTTGACTTTCAAAAGTCAAAGTTAGTTTCAAATATGTGATAACATTAATCTAATGGAAGGCATATTTTTTATTTTGTGTGAATACAATGAAAGAACTAAGGCCCCGTTTGATACGCATCTTTCCAGGTCCAAACAGATATTTCTGGCTGAATGGACCGGAAAGACTGTTTGATTTGCACAAATAAAAAGGTCTTTCCCGGTAAGATATGTCTTTCTCAGAAAGCCCCCAAAATCATACCTTTCTGGCTGAATGGGCTAGAAAAACAATTATGCACCAAACCCAACCTCTTTCTTTCTTTCTTGGATTATTAATTTTTTTAATTTATTTTTTATTGAATTATTACTTTTTTTTTTCATCATTCAGTACAGTCAAACAGATGTACAATCAAACAGCATAGTTTCTTTCCCAGTCAGAAAACTTTCCCAGACATCACCTTACCAGATAACACTTTCCCAAACAGAAACTATCAAACGAGACCTAAATCTTTTTTACTACACAACATGTTTGTTCTTAAATTTAATTTAAGCACCCCTTTTTTTCCCTTCAGCTCCAAAATAAGAGTTGCTTTTTGACTATCCAACGTAAAAATAAAGAAACTCATAATATCAAAATGAATAAGATTTAATGGTCTAAAGATAAATAGTTTATGACAACATTAATCTATAAAACAAGAACTTAAGGGATGTTTGACGTCCTTTTGGAAATAAGTAGATAATCAGTTGTACAAATTTGTTATTTTTTGTTTTTGATAAACAACTTCATTATAACTATTTAGGTTTCTTGAAATTCTGACTATTTAAGAGAAGGCGAGAGCAGATGAGGTCAACAAAACCATTATGACATAACACTTACCTGTCAACACCAATTGATGAAGAAGAAATTGTAACTAAGTGGTAACTGATGCAATTTCTAAACATTGAAATCATTACAGGCCACGAGAATGAAGATAAATGAAAGAATGAATATGTCAGAATGGATTAGCAAATATATTCTGTCAGAATGGATTAGCAACAATATTCTGTCAGAATGTAATTAGTATTTTACTTAGATTTCAATATTTTTATTTTATTTTTCCATTCTCAATTTTATTCTTTGAGAATAAATATAATTGTTAACTGTTATTAGTCGTATTTTTTCAGGGTGAATGTAATTTATGTTCATAGTTGTATTCTTTAAGAATGAATGTAATTACTGATTATAAAATATTAAAATTCGTTTCATATAAAATATTCATTCTTTAAAAATTATTAATCTTGATAATATATGTTTATAGTATCATGTTAGAATATAATGTTTTTTTTCAAGATAATCATGAACTCATTATTTTAAAATGTCCGAATTAACAGAATTGTTATTTAGAAAAATCATATTTTTAAAGTTAAGAGAATTTATTATTCCTTAAAATCCGTAATTTTTTTTTAAAATTTATGTTAATTGACTAAAATATCCTTACAATGAAATTAGATGATATTTTTCAATTATCTTTAATTCAATAATATTTATTAATCGTTTTCTTAAAATAACTAAAATGATTGGTCCACAATCAACCCTACATCCACATAATAGATAGTTAGAACACAATAACTTAGGCCCATGTGTGTGTGTGTGTGTGTGTGTGTGTGTGTGTATATATATATATATATATATATATATATAACAATCTTACAAATTAAAAGTTTTATAATAAAAACATGTCTCAAAAAATAGTCAAAGGCCCTCAAACCAACACAATTTACACTTGTTTTCTTTGTGAATTTTTTGTATGATTTGTATGTGTTTCTACTCAAAAAATTGGCATTTGTATAGTAAACCTTTGAGTTGTTAAAATATTATTAAGAAGAGTTTTGAGTGTTATTAGTTAAAAGAGGGGTTTCAAATAAATATGATTTAGGATTACAATCATTATTAAAAGGCAATTGAAAGCTCATTATAGTTTCAAATTTCAAATGTATGAGTTTCTAGTATTTTGATATTTATTATAATAGATATATAATTATAGTTTCAAATGTATGAGTTTCAAGTATTTTGATCTTTATTATAATAGATATATAAATATAGATATAGATTTTATTTCCCTTTGTACCTTAGAATAGTTACTTTGGTTTGTAACTTATCTAAACTAATTCTAAACTTTTTTTTTCTAGTTTTATGCAAATTTTGACATTTGCACCTCACCAAAGTAAAGTTTATCTTTTCACATTAAAAGGTCACCTTGTTGTCCAAAAATCGTCTTATGAGCCAACAAAGATGAATTGATCCCCGACGGAAGATTATCAATCATTTCCTCCCAAAGATTTAAAGAAAACTAAACTCAACTTAAAGACCACTTTGGCAAAGGAGGAAAAACAATACTTTTATTTCAATATCTTTCCTTATTTCATCAAAACTAAAAAAAACAAGTGCAATATACATCATCAACTAAACACCCCAAATATAAAGAGGAATAAAAACAAGAAAGCTCTCTACGATAATCCCATTTGAACAACACCAACCTCTCTATGAGTAGCAACAGCAACCCCATACTCTGATTGTGACTGTGACATAAACTTTGACTCCATTCCCTTTGACTGTTGACCGTGGTTGTAATAAGGATTACTGTTGACCCCCTGTTGCTGTTTCATCAAGGACAATGAATCCCTATCACCTTCTTGCCCCCCATGAATCTTTCCTTGATTTCCATTATTGCCCCTATATGATGCATAATGTGGAGAAACACCAACCGGACCATTTCTAAGCATTACCCTTGGATCATACACATCCTTCATCTCCCCCCTACCCTCCAATGGTAAAACTGGCCCCACAACTCTTCCTGTTCATGTTCAACATATTCATCACTTATATTATATAGTTCAAAATGAAAAGAAACATAAAAATGGAATGTAATCATCCATTCCATTCCTTTGTGGATTCCATCTTACCTTTGGGCATCCTTGGGGGTGGTCTAGCAGCAGCACTAAAGATGTATCCGGAAGCATCTATTGCAACTCTACCACCATTTGACATGTTGTTGTTATCCACCACTGGCTTATTGTCAAATGCAGCCAAACATTGCTGCAGCTTTGGAGCAGTCATACTTGAAGAAACCGTTGACCTGAAGTATACCAAATAATATAAATGACCATTTTACCCTTATATTCCAAAAAACAAAATTTCACAATATTCATCAATTTCACCATGCTTGGAAGGAAAAAAGAAGACAATAGAATCATAAAAATGTAAAATAAATGACCATTTTACCCTTATATTCCAAAAAATAAGTTTCACAATATTCATCAATTTCTCCATACTGGGAGGAAAAAAGCAGACAATACAGACATAAAAATGTAAAATAAATGACCATTTTACCCTTATATTCCAAAAAACAAAATTTCACAATATTCATCAATTTCACCATACTTGAAGGAAAAAAGAAGACAATACAGACATAAAAATGTAAAGTAAATGACCATTTTACCCTTATATTCCAAAAAACAAAATTTCACAATATTCATCAATTTCACCATGCTTGAAGGAAAAAAGAAGACAATAGAGTCATAAAAATGTAAAATAAATGACCATTTTACCCTTAATGTCCAGAAAATAAGTTTAAAAACATTCATCAATTTCACCATACTGGAAGGAAAAAAAAGAAGACAATAGAGACATATAAATGTAAAAAATAAATGACTATTTTACCCTTACCTAGGAAGAGAAACATGCTTCCTCTCTGGAGGTATAACAGGCCCACTTTTCCCAATATTTTCCTCAAAATATGCAAATTGCCTTCTGAATTGACCAATGGCACTGCATATTACAAACATATGTTACAACCAATAAAGAAAGAACACAAATCAATTGAGACATAAAATCATAGAGTGTTTGTTATTGAGATTAAAAAGAACCTAGGATAAATGAAATTTGTTCGATCATTTCCAGCCATGTAATCTTTAAGCAACTGAGGATGATATTCTAGAATCTCCCGGAATATCAACTCCCTAATATCCTCTTTTGTGACTCTTCTTCTCTCAAACTCAAACTCCAACTTTGAAAACGATTGACAAGATGGCTCCCTTTCAACTTTCGATAGTCCCTTGAAGTAAGGATCCGCTAATGCCTGAAAAAAGAAAAATGACATAAATACCCTCAGTACAAGAAACTTGAATTGAGGATTAGTCAATTACAACATTACCTGTTCAGCAGTTGGTCGATCCTTTGGATCAAAAGCCAACAACCTCTGCAATAACCTGAGTGCCAATGGATCAACATCTAGAAACTTCTCAGAAAATGTGACTGCTTTCTTTCTACGCATATCAGTCAAGTATTTTCTTGCCTTGTCATTGCGCACCTGAATCATAGATCATAGAGATATATAAGTAATAAGCCCTAATCTTTAAGGAAAAGAAGTTTGAATATAATGAAGAATTGTAAGGTTGTAACATAACATACTCTAGAAATGGTATCTGGTGATGGTGTTCCAAGAAGATCAGTGATAAGTTCCAATTGATGAACAACACTTTTTCCAGGAAAAAGTGGTTTTCCTGTTAATACTTCAGCAAATATACATCCGATTCCCCATATATCAACAGCAGGGGTATACTGCAATCAAGGTGGGAACAAGAATCAGATAAGTCACAGCCTCAGAGGGACAAAAAGGTCAAAATGGCAACCAAAGTAAGCTGTAAAACAACCATAAACTGACACAAACACTGATACGGTTACCTGAAGAAACTTCCAAAAGTGTTCAAAAGAATGCACCCTGAATAAGAATTAGTTTAATCTAGGAATCACCACCCTTATATTATTGGTTATTTATCATAAAGCCTAAAGCTTTTACACTAATATATCATAAAGAATGCTACTTTTGAGATTCTAAATGAAGAAGGTGAGTCAAAAGATACCCTATGTAAGTATGTATACCTTGGAATAAAAAGATCCGCATAACTCAGGAGCTCTATACCATCTTGTTGCAACATAATCCTGAAAGTTTATCAGAAGAAACAAAGATTGATATGGAGTTTCAATGTGCATATGAAGTCATATGATGTTATGATATTGAATAAAGAATGGAAGAACCTACTGTCCAAAATATTGTGGTGGGTGTATCAGTAAATGCAGCTCTTGCTAATCCAAAGTCGCATATCTTGAGTTTGCAATTTGCATTTGCTAATATGTTCTTTGGTTTTAAATCTCGATGATACACATTTGCTGAATTTCAGAGAATTTTGGGTTAAAACAGAAGAATTGGTGGTTAGAAATATAAGTAAAAGGGTTACCTGTATGCATATATTTCAATGCTCGAAGCATTTGATAGAGGAAAAAACGATGGTGTTCATGTGTCAAGTCATCATTGGCTTTTATGACTTGGTGAAGATCAGACTCCATGAGTTCAAATACAACATAAATATCTTTAAACTCTCGTCTTGATGGTGGCAACATAATCCGCTTAATTTCAACAATATCAGGATGACGAAGAAGTCTAAGCAATTTAATCTCACGCAAAATTCGAATAGCATCGGATGAATGTTCAAAAATGTTGGTTATTTTCTTTATTGCAACCTTTTCACCAGTCTGTGTGTCAACGGCTGCACAAACGACTCCATAGCTTCCCTTTCCTATAATCTCCAGGATTTTGTATCGGTTTGATTCACCATATTCAGTGAAGAACTCAATGTCTTTTGGACTCTGCAACACATTCATTGGGAGGTCAGATCGTATGCAAATAATAGAGATCAAAATCTACTTTAATTTGTGATGCATATGTTTTAATGTTTTCAACTCAAAGATAGAATCAAATGGATAATAAGTTGAGCTGGTTAAACCTTTCTTCGACGATCTTGCTGCATCGTGAACCTCCTCCAACACTCTCTTTCTCGTTTCTCGAAATCAAAACCAGATCAAAAACCACAAAGCAAAAAGGAAATTCAACAAGAAAAGTAACGCGGTGGTTGTTGGGCGGAAATTCAGAAATAAAAAAAGAAGATCAGCCACATTTGCCCCACCTACCCCGACTACGAATCACCAAACCGCAATCCTCAGAAATGTATTCCGCAACAAAGCATGTCACCACCACCACCTTACTCATCCAATTCCAGAAAACCCTAACCCTAAAAGTCTACCGACACCGACACCGACACCGACACCGCTACTTCAAAAAGATAACCCCACACACTATCATCGATACAACCAAAGCTTCCCACAACTATATAAGTTATCAGTAACCGAGAATTTGTTACTGAAACAGATGGGTGATTGAAATGGGTTCGTTCTCAAGATCTTGAGGTGCAATCGGCCGGCTATGGCTGATTACACGAAACGCAGAGTGGGAATGAAAGATAAAGAAAGAGAGAGAGAGAACGCAAAGGGGAAAGAGGGGGATTGATTAAATAGAAGGAAAGCTTGAGTGGATTCCGCATTGTTTATCCATGGAGTTTGCTGATTGTGAAGGGTTAATCCCACCGTTTGGATTGGGTCTCTTGACACCGTGTACCACCCAAATCGGTAATACATTTATTAATCATATAATATAATATACGAAAATAAAATTATAATAGATTTGTTACTTTTTTATTAATGTTATTTTTTTTATTTGTATGTTAAGTGTTTAATTATTGGTGGAAAGATTTTTTATTATACTATAAAGAAGTTGGATGTTAATTTCTTAGGCTAATAAGACATCTTTTACATGTTTAAACATACATTTACGTTGAGTGTGACATAAAATTTATATAATGATGCATATAGTGTTTTAAAACTCGTTTTCATATTTAATGTTATAATTGAACTTTATTTTGGAAATCATGCATTAGAAAAAGAATCCATTGAGTTATTAAAGTGCATTACGTGTTATGTTTATTTTTTAGATGATCATTAAGATAATCATAGGAGTAATGTAATGAGTAACGACTACATGTTCCACAAATATTACCCAAATAATCATTTTCTAGGAGTAAAAATATAAGAACGGTTACTAAGTTTTTCAAAAAAATTACTTTTAGTACAATTTTTGTGTTTCTTTTCTTTTAGTTTCACATAGAGGACCTACGGTAATAATTCAAATACGTATATAATGCATACAATTTTTCTCACCTAACACTTTGATGACCAAGACCATCTCCAACCTTTAACATTATTTTTTTACATTATACCGATAATTATAGTGTAAAAGATAGTGCAAACATTAAAGTTCTCCAACCCACAGGGGCGGACGCAGGATTTCTCAGTAGGGGGTGCACGATAGTAGAAAAAATAAAAATTTTCAAAAAAAATTTCACTACGGCCGGAAAAGTTAGGGGTTGCCGGTGCCACCGGTGACCCCCCCTAAATCCGCCCCAGCCAACTCATTACACTATATTTAACACTAAAAAAAATATTATAGGTATATTGCTCTTTATTCAACACTATATTTAGTGTTACATTATATTTAGTGTTACACTAAAATTCAACACTATATATAGTGTTACACTAAAATTCAATACTATATATAGTGTTAGGTATAATGTAGGGTTGCATTATATTGTAATTTATAGTGTAAAAGTGGTTTTCAATGTAAGGTTGGAGATACACTAATACTTTAAACTCATGGATTGTGCCATAAAGGAAAATTACCATCCTTTTTGTCCCTAGCACAAAATTAAAACCACGCACTATGGTGTATGTGTGTAAATGTGTAATATTAAACTCCAAGTAGGAAAACATATCTCAATTATATAATCAAACTTTAAGATATATATATATATATATGGGTAAATTACACCAACAGTCCCTCGTGCACATGCCAGAAAGCATATTTAGTCCCTATTTTCAAAAATTAACTCGGACCGTCCCTCGTTTGGTTATAAGTTGCATACGTCGTCCCTCGTTAGTTTAAATTTTCACATTTCATCCCATATGAAACATAAAATGACTCTTTTGCCCTTTTTATTCTATTTTTGATATATTTTATTTTTCTTATAATTATTGTAATACATAAAATAAATAAATAAACACTATCCCACTCATCTGATCCTAACCATTTCCTTTCTAAACCATCTTTTCCCCCAAATTATTTGACACATAAACCTAAAAAAAATCATCAACCCCCCCCCCCCCCCCGGTCGGATCATCACCACCACCGCACCACCGCCTACCACCTCCTGTACAAATACCAACCAAAGCAGAGAAACTTAAAAAGAAGGCAAGAGAGACGGAGATGGAGCCAGTGTTCGCATATGAGAGACTGTTATTTCCGGTGGCGGTGGTTTCAACAGATCTGCTACAATCTCAAATGAAAGTTGCACATGTCTTCCCCACAACCACCATCCTTGAACTGCTCCTTCGCCTTCTTCAACATCGCCTCCGATTGAACAGATTTGGTGAAACCCTTGTCACCGGAAAAACGGATCTGGTGAAATCCTTATCACCGGAAAAACGAATATAGAACCCTAGTGAATAGAAACCACCCTTAACACGATTTCTAGAATAACATCCGGAGAAGATCTGCAAACAACATTCTTAGATATGTGTCTGTTGGAGTCAAGATCTGCAAACGATTCTGGCAAGTAAATTTGGTGAAACCGGTCGGAGTTGCAGGTTTTGAAGGAGAGATGAAAACAGTCGGAGTTGCAGGTTTCGGCATCAAGGGTCCTTTATGTTGATTTTGTTTGGTAAGAGTTTGCGGCGACCTTGAAGATGCTTCCGACGACAAAACTTGACAAGAGAAGGAGAGGTGGAGCGACAGTGGCTAGTAATTTCATGTGGAGTAGTGGTGGTCGGAAATTTTTAACGGAGAGAAGAAAAAGTTCAGTCTTTTAGACACAATGAAGAAAGAAAGAACCATTATAATTTAATTATAATAATAATAAATTATATAATAAAAAATGAAAAAGGTAATAGATAAGGGTATAGTAGTCTTTTTACGATATTAGGGACGAATCGTGCAACTTTTTACGATATGAGGGACTGTCCGAGTTAATTTTTTAAAATAAGGACTAAACACGCTTTCTGACATGTATACGATGGACGATTGGTGTAATTTACCCTATATATATATATATATATATATATATATATATATATATATATATATATATATATATATGAAAGAACCCCTTTCTATACTTTCATATTTCTGAAAGACCCAAACTTTCATACTTGACAATATAGTTACTCCAAAACATGCTACATGCATATTCATAAAACAATATTTTTACATTGATAAAGTCATTACAAAAGATTGGATACAAACCGACTATGTTTTGAGATTTTACATGACTACCCAGGATATTTTAAATCTATACAAACCTAAACCAAAATACAAAAATAATATTACAACTATTCTAAGTCTTCCAACTATACTGGGTGCTTATTGCCTGCATTATGTTAAAACATTGGGAGGGGTAAGCGATAACGCTTAGTGAGTTCAATAATAGATACAATATAACGTTATTCCATATATATACCAATATGGCAGAAGCAAATAGGAGCAAGGAACAACAAATGCATAATGTGATAAGCTTTCCATATCAATCAATGACTCGATTCAAAGATATACAATCAATGAGATATAACAATTTCCATACTTGATAAACATCAATAACGCTTCGGCCCAAATGGCACTGAAGACAAACAATTTCTGATTAACATTAAGGTAGATTTCAGGTTTTCACGCCCTGTCTAACCATATGCCAATGCCATAGAATAGAGTCATTCACTTACTGGGGGACATGCTCTACATGGCCAGAGGCTACATACCAGTACCACTGTGAATCTGAGTTCTTAAACTGATCACATGGTCAAAGTTATAGCTTTGCTATCATAAATAGCAGAAATAAAAATAACACGGGAAAATACTCAGGAATAACATTCTACCGAAGCCAAAGTGATGCCTATGTCATACACTTCATGGTCAACGGTTCATACCAATACCCAAGTGATGCCTATGTCATACACTTCAAGTCAGAGGTACAACCTTGCTATAAAAATAGCGGATACAACAACTCGAGATGATAACATGGAAAAGCACATAGCACATATAACACATAACATACAATTGTTTTCTACATATTAAACTCACCGTGAATTAACCGGGGGTCAAAATAATAATTTGGGCAGCACTTCGGCTCTAAATATGACTTTCGTCGTTGAAAACCGGGAGTTTTCTTGAAAACGGGGCTCTGCGAAGGTAGAGCTTCGAAACCGAAAAAAATAAATTTTTCGGGCTTCTCGGGAATCTCGGGGCACGTTTCAGGCTTTGGAATAAGTATCGGGGCTTCGGGGGATGTCGGGATAGTAAAAATATTGAAAAAGGGTAAAAAAGTGTGAAATTTCCAAAGTTAGCCGGGAAGTCTCGCAAGGCCACTATTTATAGGGGAGGTGATCCGGAGCTTCGGATCTGAGGCTGGGAAGCGAGAGGCTTGCATGCGAGGCTCGGACCAGCTGTCAGCAGGGCGAGGCTCGGTTCGGACACATGCTCGCTTCAGATTGGGCCTCCTCCTCGGTCGAATCAGAAGCCTACACGCGGGTCGGATCACGTGGGTTTCATGTGCGGATCACATGGCTTTCTTCGGACACCTGTGCGACACACGTCGCTTCTCGGACATGCCACGCAGCAGCTTCGGACACGTGGCCAGCTCCGAGCGAGGGTGACGTGGCAATCACTATTCATGCGATTTTTCTCGAAAATTGTGCCAAATCTTGTAAAATCCATAACTTTCTCATACGAGCTCCTCTTTTTGACGTTCTTTATATGCACGCGTAGAGAAGATTATGCTCTACAACTTTCATTTAGACTTCGTCGGAAAATTTTGACTTTATTTTTATATTATTATTTTTAACAGACCTGGACTGTTAAATCCGTTAAAAATTCATAACTTCTTCATCCGACGTCCGTTTTCGTCAGACTTTTTACCGTTGTACTACTAATGACGAGACCTTCGATTCTCGTTTAGGTTGTGTCGGCTAAAAATCACTCGATCTAAAATTCGAGTTTTTAGCTTTCTACTGCTAAGCTGAAACTTGTAAAAATCATAACTTCCTCATACGAAGTCAGATTTTGGCGTTCTTTTTATCGAACTTCTCGGTTTAACGAATACTACGACTTTCATTTAGATCACTAAGGCTAAAAAGTACTTTATCAAAAACTCATTTTTTACGTCATTCGGCACCGTGCCGGTTTTATCGCGGATCTTCGATTGGTCATAACTTCTTCGTTATAACTCGGATTTCGACGAGGTTTTCGCCTACGTGTTTCTAACGAGATTATCTACAACTTTCAATAATAAAACTTTACTTATTTCAAATTTTATATTTTCGCTAAATTTCACTATTTGGCTTTTAATTGGAATCTCATAAGACTTCCAACATTTTATGAGTGATTCTAAACATAGTTTTACTTCATTTCTAGTAAAAACTATCTGTTAGAACTCAACACTCAATTTCACATAATATTATTAACTTTTCGAATTACATAACACGATTTCAAAACGTATATGTTACAATATATATATATATATATA